CGCCCACGTCTCGCTCTTGGCCTGTTTGGCCGGCCTGTCCTCGGGCTGCCGCTGCTGCTCCAGCTCGCGCACGCGCTTCTCGAGCGCCACGAGGCGCTGGACGAGGGCGGACACCTGGTACGTCACCGGGTCGTGCACCACGCCCGGGCGTGACGAGCCTGTCGTTGGCGTGCCGGTCGGGAGCACCGGCAAGGGCGAGCGCCATGTGCTGGAGCCGGCCTCCTTCTCCTTCTTCTCCGGCTTCGGGTTGCGTAGTCGCGTCTTGGCCACAAATGGCGGCGAGACGACGCTGAGGTTTGGGAACTCTTGCAGCGTCTCCTGCTCAACGTTGAGGAAGACGAGCAGCCGGAGCCGCTTGCCGAAATTGGACGAGATCATCCGCTTGCCCAGCCGCAGGCGAAAGAAGACCTGCCCGTCGGGCTGCACGTCCACCGGGCCCGCCTCGCGAAGCTCCACGCCGTCGGGGCCGACCAGCTGCACAAACTGCCGGTCCTCGTCGCTGAGCAGCCGGATGAGCGGCAGGCCGTCCTCGGTGACGAGCGCGACCGAGACCTTGTCCTTGGTGTACGGGATCGGCGTGTCGCTGCCGCTTGCGCGGGCCATGACGGAGACGTTCATCTCAAAGTACTTGAGGTTCGAGAGGATGTGCTCGCCGCGCACGTGCGACATCAGCGAGTCAATCTTGAGCACGATGGAGCCGTAGTCAGGAGCCGCGCTCGGCGCCGCCGGCGCCGGCACCAAGTCTATCGTGGACGGCTGGATCAAGTTCTTGATGCCGTCAACGGACCACCACAGGCGAGACGAGGTGATGCTCTCGAGCCTGTCGGGCGGCGCGGGAAGGAGCTCGTCCTCACCCTCGTCGTCGTCCAGCTGTGGGTGTTCTCCGACCGGAATCTGCACGAAGGGTGACATGGCGGAGACACTGCACGTGTCCCGGACGCGCTCGATTATCTCCAAGGAGCCGCGCGCCCGCGTTTTGTTTTTTGGTCTAGAAGTGCCCCACCCCCGATCGAACATTCCCGAGGGTGAACTGCTGACAGGGTTAACATTCCCGAGGGTGAACTGCTCAAAGGGTTTGCGATGAGGAGCGATCCGAACGTGGCATTCGGGGGATCAGATTTTTTGTTATTTTGCTTCTGAGAGAGAGATCTGAGGTGAAGCACGGACGGACGGAAAAACACCCCCCTTTTATGCCTGACCCTGGGCATGGCCTCTCTTGGGGTGAGCTGGGTTGGCCACCTCCGGGGCTGCAACTCGCACGGCGGGTCCGCATCCGGGCGAGCATCCGAGGCCCGCGGTTGTCCTTTCGCTGGGCGCGACCGCCATGGAGATCCACTGCACACAGATCAGTGCTTTTGTCGCCTATTGCTCGCTCTCAGTGCAATCGCAACGCCAGAGGCCGTGCTTGGAGAATGGGTCGCGATGCTGCTGCGCCAGTGGATTGAGCCGCTCCGCAGGCTCCATCGGTGAGCTGCGGTGGCGCGCCGGCCGCTTCATGCATAGCTCTCGGGCGAGCTGCCGCAAACGCGTTTTCCGTCCGCCCGTTTCATCGAGTTTGCCCGAGTGGTAAAATGCAATCGAATTTGCCCGAATGGTAAGGTGCAACTTTTGCATTTGGTAAAAGTTGCCCGAGTGGTCAGTGGGGAAAAAACCAAAGCGGAAAGGTGGCCCCAAGAGCTAAAGGTCAACATCCCCTCCGGCTACGACAACGCGAACCTGACCTGGATTCTGGTCCTCACGGGGTTGACCCGTCTCCTCCAGATCGAGACGGACTTCATGGACGGCCGAGCAATATTGCTTTACTACTATTAATTGATGCTTTTTGCACGGCTGAGCCCCCCCCCCCCCCCTCCCCTGCGCTCATTCCCTGCCCTCTCCCACCACACACTCCGTCAGAGCCCCCTCCCCTCTTGCACAACAGGAATTTTGACAATTAACCAGCCTTAGATGGAAGCAGGAAGCTTCCATCCCGGCCGTGGTTCGACTCCACATGAGCCGAGGCGTGACGGCGTGAGGGCAACGAGATCTGAAGCTCACCCATTGAGGAAGTGAGGAACTGCTCGGCCCACCCGGATCGTGCTGAACAAGTTCCTCTTGTAGCTCGATCGGTCACACCGCCATCGCCGTCGGGGAGAGGGGGGACGACACTGCTTCAGCAGCGTGCACCTCGATCCTGTACCGTGTTTGTTATGACCCCCCCCAATGAACACACCAGTGAGGGAGGGCGAGACGATCGAGGGGTCCCGTACCATGCGGAACCGACCCTATCCAGTGCTCAAGTGCTCAAGAGAGAGATTTTAGCAATAGCAAACAACTGTCTGACGTGAGAAAGAGTAGTAC